CCGATTTCCCTCAACCTTTCTTCGTAGGACAATCCCCATAGCTCTGGGACTAGTCTTGCTGCAAACCTTTGCACTTTCTCTAATTTCTTGACGTGCTTGACCAAGTGTGGATTCCAAACTGGTGCTGCATAATCCAGTATGGGCCTGGCATAAATGGTATACAGAGTTTTGAATGATTCCTTACTGAGGTATCGGAATGCTATCCATAGGTTTGCCAGACGCCCGTATGCTGCAGCAGTTATCTGATTGATGTGCGCCTCAGGAGATATGCTCGGTGTTATACTCACCCCCAGATCTTTTTCCTTGAGTGAGGTTTGCAGTCTTTGGCCATCTAGACTATATTGTGTCTGCAGTCTTCTTTGCCCTTCCCAAACTTCATGACTGCATTTGGCAGGGTTAAACTCAAGGAGCCAGTTGCTGGACCAGGCTTGTAGCCTGTCCAGGTCTCTTTGTAGTCCTGCCTGATCCTCGTCCGATTTGATTCTTCTCATTAACTTCACATCATCTGCAAACAAGGACACTTCTGAGTCTATCCCTTCTGTTATGTCATTCACATATACCAAAAACAGCACAGGTCCTAGGACCGACCCCTGTGGAACCCCGCTTGTCACTGGTGCCCACTCTGACACCTCGTCACGTACCATGACTCGTTGTTGCCTCCCTGTCAGGTATTCTCTGATCTGATGGTGAAAGTGTTTCTTCTCTTTTGGAGTCACTTTTAGGAGTGCTGTGTTTTCCTGACTGGATACTTCTCATTATAGGGCTGTACAAGTTCCACATTGCTAATTTTATCAAGCTGCAAGATTCATCTCTGCTAATTAGCTAGAGAATATCTCTTCTGAGTAGCCTTCAAACCTTCAATGCTGATGCATTTGATAAGGAGAAATGCTGAAGATTATGCACTGCGTAATTAGTGACCTTCTTTTGTGCATACCAATGTTCTGTATCACCTAAACTACATTATTTGTGCTGCATAAAGAAATAAAAGATGAATCTCCAGCAACCCACTAGTATGTGACGCATTCAGAACATAGTGTGTGCATTTCCAGCAACCACTAGTATGTGACACATTTCCAGCAACCCACTAGTGATGCTTTCCGCAACCTAGTATTGTGCATTTCCAGCAACCCACTAGTAGTGATGCATTTCCAGCAACCCACTAGTATGTGATGCATTTCCAGCAACCACTGTATGTGTGCTCAAAACCGTAGTATGTGATGCATCTCCAACAACCCAGTAGTATGTGATGCATCTCCAACAAACTAACTGTAACATATAAAATAAGACTACTTAAGAACTAGACATAGACTATTAAGTGGGATTTCTCTGCAGTTATATGTACACTAAGAAAGGTAGCTAAATAAACATTGGTACAATTTTTAACCCTTTCAGGGTCCGTCCCGTATATCTACAGCTTCACGTTCAGTGTCCAAACCGTAGATCTACGCCAAAATTCTAGTGCCGTCAAATTTAGCGTGAAAACGCTCATAGGCCTACATGTGAGAGAACATGTCTGCTTGGTGGGTGTGCGCCATAAACAAAAAATCTAGGCGCCCGCATAGCATTGTGGGAACGCCGGCTCAGTTACCCTTGTTCACCATGCCTCGTCGCAAGGCAGCTCTCACTCCAAGGAAAATTGGGACTCTCCTCTTCCTATCTGATAGTTCTGACACTGATGGAAGTGGAAATGAAGACGAATTCTTTGGCTTTGATCAGTTCAGTGACCGAAAGGAATGACCAGGATATCGATAATAGCACAGAAAACCCTGATGATCCTCAACCTTCTACCTCTGGTGTGGGCACTCCTCAGTCACGGTCAGTTGTACCTCAATGCAAGAGAAAACTATTTTCGCGTAGCCAGGCCTCTGACTTCAGTAATGATGATTATAGTGACGTGGATTGTGATTTTATTGTTCTTGATGATCATTCAAGTAGTGATAGTGAGGAAACATATTCACCAGTGAAGCGTCGGTATGTACGCCGCTGCATGCGCTCGGGTAATGTACCCTATGCAGTGCCCAGGGGATGGAGTACATTCTGGAGTACATCCCGTGGCCCTACACCAGGAATAGACAGTGAAAGTGAGGATGATGTGGCTACACTTGGCACGGATAGACCACAGGCATCAGTAGATGGTGGTAGTGGTGATGGTAGTGCCATGGCCATGCGTGACTCACCAGCTCAGGCTGGGACCCACACTGCTGACTCCGCAGTTCAAAGACAAAGCGGAGCGTCAGCCACCAGCCCACCACAACCACAACTACCTGCACAACCAGCCTATGATGTCCAGTATCCACCAGCAAACCGTATCTGGGATTGGCAGCAAAATCCCAATTTTGTTCCCAATCCCCACCACTTTGATGACTCTCAAAGTGGAATTCTACCTACTTGTTCCCTTGGAAACATGGCCAATGAATTGGAATTATTTGAAATATTCTTTGACCAGCCCTTGATGGAAATTATTGTCAGGGAAAGTAACAAGTATTTTGAGTACACCATGGCAAATACGATGATATCACCACAGTCAAGACTACACCAGTGGAAAGAGACGACTGTTGCAGAAATGTATTTGCTTTTTGCAACAATAATGCTTATGCCTCATGTCTATAAGCATAATATAAAAGCATACTGGTCCACAGATCGGCTAATTTCTACCCCGGTCTTCAGTGAAATCATTCCCAGTGAACAGGTTTATCTTACTGTTACGTATGTTGCACTTCTCTGACAAAACCAGGCCTGATAGAAGTGACAGGTTATACAAGATTAGAAATGTTTTCATGTATCTCAAACAAAAGTTCAACATGTACTTTTATCCATTCAAGAATCTTGTAATTGACGAATCTTTGATTTTGTTCAAAGGTAGACTGTCATTCAAGCAGTATATACCGAGCAAGAGGAAACGCTTTGGTATAAAACTGTTTGTACTCTGTGACTGTGACAGTGGCCTGGTATTGGATATTGTTGTATACACAGGAAGTAAAACATTGAAAGATACCAAGATGTTATTGGGTATCTCAGGTAAACATAGTGAGAAGCATGATGGCACCTTATCTTGGTAAGGGGCATACATTATATACCAATAACTGGTACACAAGCCCTTTACTCAGTGATTTCTTACGAGTGAACAAGACAGATGTGTGTGGCACAGTGTGTTCTAATCGTAAACATATGCCCAGGCTCAACGCAGGTGCTTGTGGTGATGATGTGCAGGTGTTTACTGCCAATGACATCATGGCATTACGGTGGCATGACAAATGAGATGTCACATTGTTGACAACCATTCACCGTAACGAAATGAAAGACAGTGGCAAAGTTGATCGAGTGACTAATGAACGTATTCGAAAACCAGTGACAGTGATTGATTATACACAAAACATGCGCTTGGTTGACAAATGTGACATGCAGATTGGCTTTGTTGATTGTGTTCGTAAAAGTTACAAGTGGTACATGAAACTTTTCTTCCATCTCATGAACATTTCAATGCTCAATGCATATAATATGTACCAAATGAAGACTGGCAACAGACCACCGTATGGTGAATTTTGTTTGTCTGTTGTCAGACAACTCATAATGAAGCACCAGGTAACAACACCTGCTATACAACAAGGTCCTCGAATTCCTGAGAATATACCCAAGTGTTTGAGGAGGGAAGGTGATTATTTCATAATATAGCCTCCTTCAACTCAGAAGAAATTTGCTCAGAAGAGATGTGTTGTCTGTGCACAAACAAAACGACGGCAACAAAGATGCAAAGACACTCGGTTTATGTGTGAGGAAATTTAGGTACCTCTGTGCATGGTGCCTTGTTTCAAGGAGTTCCACAAGCTCCAGCAGTTCTAAAACCATGTCCAGTGGTTGTAAATATGTAAATATATGATAGAACATTAGTATTATACAAGATTTGTGCATGTTTATTGTAATAAACAAAAGTGGTAAACAATAATATGATAATAACTTTAGTGCGGTTATTGTGTTCAATACAGTGAGTTTATATATATACATTATATACAGTATTGGTCTCTCAGGCCCCAAATGTTAGTAGGAATAGAAAAAATTAGAAAAAAAAAAAAAAACTACAAAAAACGTTAAATAAAGTAATGTGCGTATGTGGAAATCATCGATGATGCCGCCACCAGGTCATTTTGGGTCAACTTCTCAGCACTGTATCTCGGTAAGTACTGATCAGAAATTTTTTTTTTTGTCTTATTACCTTCACAAAAATATACTCTTTAATTCTGTAAGAAAAAATAATTTTTGTTTTTTTTTCAAAATTTCTTGGACCCTGAAGGGGTTAACCCGTAAATGGTCCAAACGTATATACAGTGGACCCCCGCTTAACGATCACCTCCCAATGCGACCAATTATGTAAGTGTATTTATGTAAGTGCGTTTGTACGTGTATGTTTGGGGGTCCGAAATGGACTAATCTACTTCACAATATTTCTTATGGGAACAAATTCGGTCAGTACTGGCACCTGAATATACTTCTGGAATGAAAAAATATCGTTAACCGGGGGTCCACTGTATACGTTTTTTCAACATTTGAAAGTATGTAAAAAAAGTAATCTTCTTTTTGTTTTTTTACATTTGAAAATGTGTAAAAAAGCTTTGATCTACTTTTGATTTTTTGTTACATTTGAAAATATGTAAAAAAAACGTAGATCTACTTTTGTAGCGCTACACGTGAACGTAGATCTGCTTGGACCGTTTACGGGTTAAAAGTATGACTCATTACTTCAAATTGATTCACCAAAATTATATGCACAATGAGGTAGCTAATGTACAAAAGATACAATTTATATTGTAAATAAATGGTTCGGAAAACCGAGAACACCGACACTCGTGCAACACTTGAGTATGTTTATTGGGGATACGTCTTGCCAAGCAGTGACTTGTTTGTACTGGAGTGAGGAAATTACTGGCTGGTGAAATATTTCTACAATAAAGATACTTAAGTATTACATAAGAATCTCATTCATCAACAATTCATATTGTAAGTTACTGAGGTTGCAGGTGCTGCAGGATGGCATCAGAAGTGGTGGCGGTGATGGCGGTAGTGGTGGCGGTGGTGGTGTCACAGCAGTGATGGAGTTCTAGGGGTGAGAAGAGGTGGTGTTGAGCAATGATGGCCAGCAGGTCCAGTAGGCCAGGCATGTCAGCACGTTCACCAGAGATATTAATGTGCACCTTAGATGGGGTGAGGTGTGGAAGAAGAGCTGTGTAACAACTCATTGTCCTATGATCATTAATATAAATATTTCCAGTGCTGATGAAGGGAGCTATTGCCTTAGCAATGTTTTCATTACATCTGGTGTTCTCTAGGACGTTGAGCCAGTGGTCATTGTTCTTCATGCCAGACTCATGTAGGAGACGAGCAACTTCGTATGTGATGACTTCAGGTACCTGGTCTAGTACCAGGTGCAACAGCCCAGCCACATGTATCAGAACACTGTGGTACTTGGTCATGTCTACCCTGGCAGATGCAACGCTCTGCTTTAACACTCCTCTGATGCTGACAGGTGTTGCTAATGTAGGTGTTGCCAGTTCAAGTGTTACTGGGAATACAGAAGTTTGTAGTTGGTGCTTGAGCGTCATCAAAATATGCAGAGCACTGTAGTATTCTTGGATTCCCTTGTGTGGTGCAGAGTACAGCTCCTTGATGCCTTGCAAAGTCCATACTCTCTTCAAACTCAAGAATGCATAAAGAATTTGTTGATAAGAAATATTATATTCATTACAAACAGATATTAGTTGATTTATAGTCTTTTCTTCCAAGTTCAACTGGTCACGTGAGAGACTCTCAAGAGATGCTGCATAAATTA